ATAATCAACTAAATTTATATTACTGTATTACAACAAATAATAGATATTTAAAGTACCATTTAAAAAGAAACAAAGTGCTAAACATTAGCTAAAAATAACACATCTACAATCATATTTTTACTCTTTTCGTTTGCAATTTGGGTTTTTTTTATCCAATTCAAGATTTTTTTATTGTTTGAGACTTTTAAAGAATGTGGAATAGGGTTACTTTTTAACATCTTTATTACATTATCTCAAATAATTTTTTTTAACTTGAACGTTTAAAACCTATATTTAATCCACCTTTCTTCATGTCGGAGAAATTTGAGAGTAAAATTTAATTTGTGCCAAAAAAAAGATGTAGGTAAAATTGATTGAGAGAATAATTGAGACTGAGAGAGAGAGAGAGAGAGAGAGAAGAATCCGACTAATAACATTAGACTAATAACAAAAGAATGTAGATACTGTTTATTCCTAACACCTTGGAATTAAGATGACGGGTCACACCCGTCTCGCATAGGACATTCCAGACGTATGACAATGACTCTCACTCGATTGTTTCTTGTTATCTGCACCGAACCCGCCACGCATCAATTTCCATAAGAACATAAAGATAAACGCATAAGTATGTATCGTCGCTGGTAAAAGGCCTAGCATAAATCTCGCAGAATGCGCGACGTTTCGCGTTTATGCGCTTCTCCAGCTTACGCTTCCTGCGTTATGCAAATCCGCAAAAATCAAATCGTCACCTCGGTCAGACGCTAGCGCGTTCGAATAAGGGGGAAAAAAAAAATCTGCACGCGTGAAAGGATTGACTGTTTCTCATCTGGCGACTAACGCGTTTGGGATGCGAGGTGCATAAATAAATTCCGTAGTCGAAGCCGAAGAGCGATGCGAGCCGCGAGTATCTCGCCGGGGCACCCCGTATAGATCGCTTTTGCCATTACGGGACATCATGGGGCCGCCGACAAAAATAAACTCGCCTTGACAGAGACAGATCGCCTCGTTCATCCGCGAGTATATACTATACGCGCGGGCGAATGCATTTCGCGTCTCTCACGATCGATAGATCGGAGAGCGCGAGCGGGGAGAGACTTGGTTGCGCCGGAAACCCCGACGAGTGGAATTGCGATTGTGCACCAGGATACGAGAATGTTCCGGTTCCTTTGGTCTTCTGGTTACATTCGCCGCCGGTGCGCGTGTCCGCTCGTCTGTCTGTCCGTCCAACCGTTCGTCCGTCCGTTCGTCTGTCTGTCTGTCTGTCTGACTGTCCGTCCGTCCGTCCGTTCGTTCATTCGTTCGTTCGTTCGTCCGTCCGTTGTCTGCTCCAGCGCACTTCGGACGAGTGCATCGCCGTCTGGCCCCGGCCAGAAGGGTCTTTGACCGATTATCACTTGGTCTTTATGGTCTTTGAGGTTCTTTTAAACCACCTCGCCGCTTCTCCGCCCTCGCCGTCGCCGCCGCTGGCGCCGACACGACGTACACGGGGACCGAAGGGAAGAAAATCGGCGAGACGAGGAAAGGTGCGAACGAACGACGAGGACAGCGGGCCATCGGAGACCGGGGTAAACAACATCGTACATGGTACCCGCGAGTATACCTTCGCACAATGCGAAAGCTTAATGCACTCGCCGAGTGGGCACTCGTATGTCGTATACGTGGTCATATCCTGCCGTCTCGTCGAGTTTTCGGCATCAACGCCATGAACATCGCTGCGCTGCGGTGACGAACGAGGATTAAGCTATGCTTATTGTTACAACGAGTGATGATTTGGCAGTTAACACTCTCCATCCAAACACGTGCGTTATGCGCCCTGTTGAATTCGAATGTGCAGAAGATATAAAGAGTATATCGCATTGTAGACATAAATATGTAGAATAGATGAAATGTAAAATAAATTAATAGATAACAAATGTTCTAATTGGTAGACGTGAAATTACCGAATGCTTCATACAACATAGATTTCAACAGTATTGCATCGATGTCGCAACGTTCTAGTAATATTACAGTGACATTGCAAACGTTGCAATATTGCTGCAAGATTCTGCATTATATGGGAAATCAGAGTTGTAACGCGATAGAAAGCAAAGAAGATTCGAAGTTAAATGATTTTGTGAGATGTGTAATAGATTTTGTAAAGCGTATAAGTCTGCAACGTAATTGATAAGGCGTTTATAATATTCTCATATGCTTTCATTGTAAATCCAAGTGACTATATATGTGTATCATTTAAGAGAGAGAATCTTCCATATAAAAATAATACACTACGTATATATTATATGTACAAAAATTAATTCACACATTTTTAAACGCGTATTATTTTTATACTAAATCACATATATACGAAGACAGTTATTACACACTTGGATTTAAAGTGTTATTCCACTTGCGTAAGAAAAGTACTGATGTTCTTATTTTTTCCTAATAACGTTTGATATTTCGCTTATACGGTGCAATGGCTGTATCGGACCTGGTCAACATATAGAAATCTCAGTCATCAACATGATTTTGATTTGAAAAAAATGTTAAGACGAGGAAAAGGTACTTAATAAAAAACTGATTTCGGAAGCGATCCATATAAAGTAACAGAAACAGAGTTTGAATTTACAGATATTCTTTGGATACCCACTATATGAATTTGTTTACGGAATTGTGACATTGATTTTACCCTCTTTTGTTTTTATTTTTATTTCATTTTATTTCAACAATTACTTGACTTTATTATTTTGACTTTATTATTTTTACTTGACTTTATTATTCTCATTGTATCTCTGACTGTCGACATCACATAGAGCTTTACGTCGAGTCGCGAGAAAACGCTTACATGTAAGGTGATATAATTAAAAAATTCAGGCAAATGATTTTGATAATTCTCTAATTTTTCGTTTTCGTGTTTCCTTTAAATGACTACATAGCAAATCTGACAATCTGATGAGCGATGTGTTTCTACTAAATGACGGAATATATATGACTTCGGTTTTACTTTATGTAAGTTTTTATATTATTATTGTATAAGTTAATAATTTTGAGATTTATTGGGCTATTCATTACAAAGCTAATTGTCAGTTGGATAAAGAAGAACGAACTAAATTGTCGGGAATCATCAACTTGAAATTTGCGTTATTCATGTAACTTCGATTTATATGTTACATTGATAAGGACCCGAATTGAAGAGTTGAAACGTATATTTTATTCGTTCTGTTACATTCACATGATGGGTTTTTTTTACATTTTTAACTGATAGATTCTTTCGTGCCTCATTTTATATATATGTATATAGAGATCTGTTTTCTGTGGCTGAATTAGTGTACACTTTTGGAGCTTAAAGTATTATGTTGGAATTAATTCGTAGCGTTTTACAAGTGATGGGAAGTACTTTCATTAATGTATTTTTTAATGCTCATGTGAAATAAATAACATTCTTTCATTAAAAACGCTACGAATTAATTCCAACACCTAATAAGATAGATATACGTTTGATATTTGTTTAAAGCTAGAAAGAGAATTCTAGAACAGTTTAGTACGAGAACAGAAAACAGACCATAGGTTGCACACGATAAATAACGGAGAGGTTTCGATCGGAAATAAAATGTGTGCGACGTCGCCGTCGGAGCGTACTCTCCCTCTGAGAAGGTACTTCTGGATTCCTACGTCGAGCGTCACGAATTCATTAAGTAGCGAATTATTGAGGCCGATATCACGCGGTTAAGCTCGACTCTGACGTCTTTGTCGCTAAATAAGGAACGGGCCGGGGTGTCGTGACACCGATACCGTAATTTCGCCAAGAACAAAGAGAGGGTTGTGCAAAGATATATATGGGAAGGGATACGCCGTCGTCGCGTAGATACGAAAACACGTGAGCGCGTATCGCCGCGCAGTATCTATTCCACGATTAACCCCGACTTCTCCCCTCTCCTCCCACCTCCCCTCCCCTTCCTTCAATTAATTATTTTCACTGATCCGAAGTACGTCAGCATACAATCGTATGTCAGCATTCGGATGAGATACGTCTGTTCTTTCTTCTCTCTAACGAGAGCGACAATCGACAGATTTAATTTGATCAATGCCAGCCGAGATATCTCGCTTCAAACGAGACACGCGTCTTTTGTAAGTGACGGTAGTTTGAAAATCTAGCTACGGATACGTAAGTATATCAATCAGGAAGAAGGTCATAAGATCAAGTAAAAGAATTTTCTTTTAGCTCGCAATAATCTGTTGATCTTTTTTGACTTTTCGATTCTTTTTTTCTTTCTTTCCATTTTACGTGCATATATCAATTCGTGTTATTTTACTTCGTAGGAATTAATAAAGAGAGAAAACATGCGCTATTCTACTGAATAATCAGAATTATTTTAATTTGAATTGTAAAACAATATAAAGTTTTCATAACGATACAGTATGAACTCAAGTCTTCAAAACAAAACTTCTTTAAGAGAATATTCAGGATTGAAAAAGTTACTTTATAAGTTGCTTCTTAGATTACCTTATACGTGTACAAAATTGGAGTAAATGATAAAAAGAAAAATATCCGATCTTATTATGCTCAATTTCTATAATAAAAAGTATCTTACGGTAATTTGTAAGGTAACTTTCCCTGGGAGGAAACATTACATAATAATACGTACTGTGAAAATAATGTAATAGAACTTAATACAATACTATTCTTCTAAAGAATATTCATATCATATATATCGATTTAATATTTGACAATAATTGACAAACGTCATATAGGATTTCACGTAAGAAATTCGCCACCCCCGCGGGAGTGTACGGAGATACGCGAACTTTTAGCCTTTGAGCGCGTACGTAGCGTACAAGTATTTACGTGCGTACTCAAACCGCGAGACGTCGAGAAAGAAAAGGGCGACGCGGCCGTGCGGAGCGGCCAGAAGTGGCACGGCGGAACGGAAAGGGACGGAAAGCGACGAGCGCCGCCGAGATGAGACGAGACGCGACGAGGAAAGACGATGAGGGCCGACGAGGGTCGCGTACCGCGGCGCTGAACGCAGTGCCATCCGATAGGCAGCACCGCTTGCTCCGCGGATCTTCGGCTCGCTCCGGGTACGAGCTCTCCCTGCGCTCGTTCAAGCTCCGCCACGCTTACCTCTCCTCTCTCTTTCTCTCTTACTCCCTTACTCTCTTTTACTTTCTTCTCTCACGCATTTTCGTTCTCTCTCTCTCTGTTTTTCGCTCTTTCTCTGTCTTCAATCCCGCTGTATCGGCGTGGCGCGGCCGCGACAGTCGCAACGACGACGACGACGACGACGACGACGACGACGACGACACGACGACAACGACGAAGGAAAAATCAAACCGCCGCGGGTGGAAAACGCGGGACGCGTGCAGCGAGAACGCATCGCTTCGCGTGTGTCCGGCGGCCGCGTGTGTCGCGCACATCAGGCCTATACGTGTGTGAGCGCTCGACGTGCCGTCCGCTCGCTGCATTGCGAGTGTATACCAATACGTCGTCGTTCCTCGTCTCGCGACCAAAGAGAGGAGGCTCCCTTCCCCCGACCTGGATGCGCGGCAGTCTGTATGGTGCGTGTGTCTACCTTCTTCTCTCTCTGCCTATATATCTATATCTATCTATTTATTTATCTGTCCGTCTGCTGCGTCCACGCTCGTCTCCCTCTCTCTCTCTTTCTCTCTCTATCCGTCTACCTTTATCTACCTTTTGTCGCGCACACTCCACTCCTCTCTCTTCCTTTCTCTTCCCCTTTCTCTTTCCTGGCTGTCTGTTCTCTTTCGTTCGTTGATCTTACTCCGTTGCGTATCATAGCGTCTGCATCGCTCCGCGCTCGATCCAGACGCTTCGCAACGTGCCGTCGAGTGAATTGGCTTAAGGAGACGTCGGCCTCTTGTCACCGCTTTTCTGCACGTATGCAAAAGATGCTCGTTCTCAGAACGCAACGGAGACACAGCATGGCCGCCTCTAGTACGAAACAAATCGGAGTCCCTCGCCAGTGTCCACCACGCTATGTATGTTCACGTTCGCCTGTCTTCTCATTCTCGCGCTGCGTCCGTCTTCTCGCTGCGCGTCAGCACCCTTTTCTCCTTCTCTCTCTTTTTGAATTTGCAGATTTTATGTGCATACATTTTACAATAGATTTTATACATACAATTTTATATATGTAATATACAAAAATATATATGTATATATACACACATCTGTCGTGCACACATCGTTTTTTCTTACGCGTCGTGAAGCTTTCGCTCTCGTGCTTCATCCGCGTGCGTTGGTCTCGCTTGTTTTTACATTGTGTCTCCGTTGTGCAAACGTGCAACTTTTCCTTTCGCTTTTGCTCTTCCTCTTTCCATTCGAGCCCTCTTCACAGCCCGTCCGTCTCTCTTTCGTCTTTTCTCTTTCTCTTTCTCTCCGTTTTGTATCTCTTCTTCCACTGTTTGCATCACTCGTGCCCTCTCCCTCCCTCTCAACTGTCCCTATCTCGCTCTCTCTTCCGTATCGTTCGTCGGAGCACAAATAAAGTCTCTCTTTCTCCCCTCGTTCTACGAGAGAGGAGAACTCTCGCTCCGTCCAACGGCTTTTTCTTCCCCTTCCTAGGTTTCTACATCTCTCTCGTTCGTGTTCCCTGATTGTGTGTTTCATTCGAAAATAGAACGTCAGCGCGCGTGCCGCGCACGCATTTTTGCCGCGAAAACAGCGAATTCCCGCTCGCAGGCGCGCTCCGATCGGCTTGTAACCCCGCGAACGCGTCCTTAAACTCTCGCGCGTTTTGCGAGAGTTACGCGACCACCTCGTAGTAGTCGAGCTTGCACGCGTGCATTCACACACCGGCTGGGCGCGTCTCTTCTTCTCCCTCTTTCTCTTCGTCTCAATCATCGCGTATTAATCTCGCAGAAATCGCGAGTCTTCACGCAACCCGTGCGACGTCTTGGGAGATTTAATGATAAAGATTTAATGACGTTATTATGATAATAATGCACGCTGGACGAGCTGCGGTTAATTTGGAACTTGCGGTTACGATAAGTTCTTTATTATTTTTGGGATGATTTTCGATTTTTATGATACAATTGCTGTTAACCCTCCATCTGCAATATGAGTCTTTTACAAATGTCTTTCACAAATAAAATTTCTCTCTCAAATTTCTTCAAAATATAAAGAACAGCCAAGTCCAGTTTCTTCTTCTAAAATATCATGTAACATTTATTTTGTAATGTAATAGAGATGTTGAAAAGTAACGCTTGAATTTTCTCACATTTTTTGGAAGCCTAGAACAGTAAAAAAACTTGGGCTGAACGAAAAGACTCAGATTGTAGACAGAGGATTAATAAGGTAAGCTTTGATAGCAATTCTTATCGGTTAATGTTTTTTAAAAATTGTCTTAAAAAGTAAATCGTAGTTCTCATATAGACAGATTAAAAATGAAATGAGATTATCGTAATTAATATGATTGGATTATAAATTATCGAAAAAGTTTCGTGAATCGTATCGTAATTAATCGAAGTTAGATTTAAATACGACTGAAATTGTATGAAATTTTATGAGAGGAATGGAATAAGTTATTTGATATTATGATATAACATTAACATATGTCATGAAGAATATGTCTGTAAATATAAATAGCGATATATCACGTATGAAATCTAATAATTATATTTTTCATTAATATATACATAATGTATTCTCCTCCTTTACATTGTGTCGAATTTATCACAATGCAATTTTATCAAAGATTTTTCTCAGCGAGCCGAAAAATATTTTCCCGAGAGCAAGTAAATCCTCGAGCGGTTTGCTCAGTTCACAAATCGAGGATAAAATATTTATATTTCTTTAACTCCCTGTCGCGCTCCATTTCAAATCAAGTTCCGTCAAATTATCGTGCAATAAGATAAAATGCGTCACGTAACACAAAGGTGAACGCCTGTCCTCCCGTCGAGTAAGAGCGCGTGGCAGACGCGCGACGATATTTTGGCGGGAGAGTCGTAAAAATAGTGCCTCCGCGGTTTCCTTCCTTCAGCTACGGGACTATAATTAGCAGGTATTCCGCGTTTTACGTATGGCGGATACACGCGTGCGTATTCGCGCGAGCGAGAGCGCGCGCGTGATCTCGCGTTGGGGATAAGAAGATCAATCGGCCGCGTGCCGCAACGCGCGAGCGTCTCCACCGTGCTAGACACCGACGCGAAAGCCCAATCGTTATCAGTCAGCATACACGAATCTCCCATTAGACGAGCCAAGTAGAAACGGATCCGTTTAGGATCCCGTCTTCCCCGAGGTCCCTACCATGCCGACTCTCTGCCACTAGAAATTCGTTATTCGAAGCGATAGCAGAGTATCTCGTAACCTCACTACAAAATCTCAGAACTCAAAAAGAATCTTGAGACACCTGTAATTTTCGGTTAACGATGTATCAGGTGTATAGTTTCTGTAAAAAGTGACGGGAATTGGAAATTTATACTTTCCATAAAAGTGAATGTTACATATGAAATAGTTGAATAAGATTAATATTTAATATTTGACAATACAGTTCAATAACTTAATAAATGAAAATGTTCTCTTAATTATTTTTTAAAAACGTGTCTACACATCACACTTTTTATTGAAATAATTTTTGATCTCCACCAAACTTCTTGTATTACTTTATATAGATAGAAAAAAAATTTATATTTGTTTATTTTGTTAAAAAATACGTATAATTCCCTTATAATCGAGTTAGAGATAATTTGATGACTTTGATTAATTTGATTTACTGAGCAATATTAACAATATTAAAAAGAAATAAGCCTTAAATGAAAGCAAATTTGTATTTCGTGACTAAAATTAAAATTACACGATAAAGCTTTTTCAGATACAATTGGCGAACATACGCTTGAAATACTTTTAGTTTAACATAAATAATTACTATATACAGATTTATTTATGCAGGTCAAAAATGAAAATCATAAATACACGAGTTTCTAAAAATTTATTTTTTAATGACAAATGTATTAATTTATTGTATTGAACGATTTGAAAAAATTATTATCATCTTTTTTTATATACGATGAAATGTCGGAATTTTTTACGAAAAGAGAATCATTTCGATAAACTATTTTACTGTATTCGAAAGTATTTCTTGCTAATATAATTATCGATTACATGTCCAGTTTCTGGCTCGATTTAATTTTTGCGGGCGTACGCGTGTCGTAGTGACGATGACGATGATCGCGACGACATCAATGACGATTGTACGACCCGGCCAACGGCGGCACCGTCGAGACACAACCGATCGGGCACAACAATGTCCGCGCGGCGCGTGCTTATAAAAATAGCATTTTCGCGGTTTCTCCCTCCTTACGGCTATACTTAGCCCCGGACACCGGTGTCCCTCGGCGTAGTAAACAAATTTCAGGAGGGTCGACCCTCGTGTAACGAGAAGTGCCGTCCGTATATTCCTCACTTACTCGTCTATTTTTTTCAGCGCATGTCTTAAATATTTTTAGAGATAGCGCTATGAATTTTTGCCGTGTCGGTTCAGGAAAATATTTCACATATAATTATGTCATAATTACGCTATTCTTCCTTTTAACATTGATAGCCGAATTAAAAGAAATTTGGAGAAACTATTATAATATATAGTTTCCATATTCACGTGTAAATTGCACTTCACATATACATAAACTGTGTATCTTAATATATTTTGAAAAATTTCGAAGTTGCGAGATGAACTAGAAATGAGTGGTTGAGAGTAGGATATTAATGAATCAAATTCCAACATTGTGCAGAGAAACTAAATTTTAGCTAATTTCGAGTAGAGTTTACTTTAATAGTTATTTAGAACTTAACTGCTACAAGCTCGATCTCTCTCTCTCTCTCTCTCTCTCTCTCTCTCTCTCTCTCTCTCTCATTTCGCTTTATATTTCCTCCGTTACACTTTTAGATCAGTCACTCCCATCTAGACGCTTGTATTTCTGTGTTTCTTCGCTCTATGCAGATGGCTTGCCGTGTTACCTTTATTATACCCAGGGATTAGTTATTTAAGCTATTTTGCTGCTAGCGAGAACACAAATGGTGCATAAGCATTTGAAATATAAAGTACGCGAAAGCGGTCGATTCTTTTCGCAGTGCAGAATCGGAGCGTTGATTAATGAATGAGATATCGAAAATGCAGTAACCCATGAGAGATGAAAACGGAAAACCGAGCTTGCTGTACCGAGGTGATACAATGATATTTCGTGGCGCATAAATGATACTTACCGACATTAAGAGATATTTTCAAAAATTCTTTACAGCATAATATGCATGAAAATATCTTAGATTGTTTGACGAAAGTTATAATGTAAAAATAACTATCTCTTTCATAAGTTTTTATAGTGATTATTTTAACTTTTGCTTTTTTCTTCCGATGAATTCCCTAGCGAGCCTTATAGGAAATGCATGTTTGGTTTTCACATTGAGAGATACATCCATGCACTATTATATCCATACTTGCGCTCGTTATTGGACTGTTTAACCCTTCTATTCCCGACGGGATAATTGCGTCCCGTGAATAATTGGCGGCAAACGATATACATGAACTTGGTATTGATCATGTTATGTTAACGTCTCACGTTAACTCAGTACCAGACAAGATGAAAATTTTGTGAACATTTATCTTAATTTTTCAATATTTCTGATATTTTATATTTCTCAAAATTAAATTTTTCTTCAAATTTAGTCATCGAATATAATTAAAGTATTAAATGGTTTTGTTACTTATTAATTGAACTTTTATAATATTATACTATAATAAAATATTAAAATATAACTTAAAATAATAATTCATTTATTTAACTATTAAATATAATAAATTAGATTTAAAAAGAAGAACTCATGACGTTAATAAAATTTTGATAACAAAATATATAAGTCATATTTATTAAGAAATTTATATTACTTATTAAGAAAAAGAAATTAGAAAAACAAGAGAAAATTGAATTTTATATTATTAAGTATTCAATTGAGAAAGTATAAAAAGGAAAAAAAACGCGAAGAAAAAATGTGTTTCTCGAGAAATGAAATATCTATTAGACAAGAAGGATATTATAAATAGAAAGATATCGATCCAAATATGTCAAGGTGCAAAATTCTTTGATTGTTTCAGATTGTGCTGTAGTCCTCTGAACGCTATTTGGACAGCGTCTGTAGATAGCAAGGACGCGGAGAAGGAAGAGGAGGCGTGAAGCGCGAGCGGAAGATGCCGCGCGACGCAGCCAGAGAACGTGAATGCGACGAGCATCGTCGGGACGCGAGTCGCGGCACCGACTGTTTACGGAGTGCACGATGATGGCGGAATGCCTGTGGACAGGGTGCACAGTATTATCCGGCTCGTCGATCGAGTATACGGTAAAGTCGATCTCCCATCGTGGTGGCAAGATCGAGCGCAACAGGGGCAGCAGCAGCAGCAGCAGCAGCAGCGGCAGCAACAGCAGCAGCAGCAGCAGCAACAGCAGCAGCAGCAGCAGCACGTGTCTGGGACGGGATAATAAATGCCAAAACGGCACGACGCCGGCACGAGCCGAGGTGGATCAAACGTGGGGACGCGAAACACAATTGTCGAATGCGGGCAGGTGTTCCAGGAGGATCGCTGGATCGCGTGGTTGCATGTAAATCGCGAGGAAGAGGAGCAAGAGAAGGGAGAGGAGGAGGAAGAGGAAGAGAAGGAGGAGGAAGAAGAGAAGACAAAGAACGTCAAAGTTCATCGTCGCGAGCGGATCGCGGACAGCCGGATTGAACGGCCGCCTCGCGGATTCTTATCGCACGGCAGGGGATAGCGGGAGCCACCACGGGGGCGGGGGTGGGCTTGCCCCTGCTTCTTCTCGTTGTTGCTCTTCTTGACGATCTCACGCACGTGACGACGGCCGCGTCGGTGATACTCGAACCGTTGAATAGTGTCCATCCAGCCGACGCTCCTACGTCCGTTTACCTGCCGCCGCGATCGTCCGATTATTACTTGTTCGCGCCGCGCCCGTTCCGGAGGGCGATCAAACGCGCGTCTAGCCCTAACGACGTCGGTTCCGAAGGTCACGCGAATCAGGGAACTCTGGATCATCTTACATTGGCGACACGCCTTTCGCCTTCGTCCGCGCCACCCTTGACGTCACCCCTGTCATTAACGTCGCCGTTATTGTTGACGCCGCCGCCGCCACCGCCGCTGTCGTCGTCGTCGTCTACGACGTTATTGAGACCGTCGCCGTCTTTAACGCCGCTGAATACCGTCGTCGTCAGACATCAAGATCTTTCCATTCTGACGCCGAGTTGTGACAACGAGAACGAAGGGATCGTAGCGCGACGAGGAAGAGCGAAGCGAGTAGCGATAAGCAAGAGATCGAAGCTGAAAGATCAACCCTCCCCGAACTTCATCGATCCTTGGCCGGAGGCATGGCGACGTGCTAACGAACACCCTCCGCAATCTCGCAAAGTGGAACCCGGACCGTCAATCGATGAAAGGATTCGCCCTGCAGTCCAAACTTTTACTCCGCTATTAGAGCCCGTCTTCAAGCTTGGGGGATCGATATTACGTCCGGAAAGCTCCCTACGAGATATTTTACTTCGTGAAAGTGCTTCGAAGACAACGGCGACGACGACGACGGCGGTGGCGACCAGAACGATCACGCGGAACATCGTGTATCTCGATGCGACTCAGCACGCCAGAAGCACCGTGCCTGAGAAAAATGACGTCGAGAGAGTGACCGAGGACCGAGTGAAAGGTGATAAGAGAGGAAAGGAGTTGGTGCTCGTGAGAAACGAGGATAATGGTGCGGTCGTAGTTGGTGGTGGTAGTGTCATCGAGTGGACCACGACAACAGTCGCCGGGCCGATGTCATCGTCGCGGTCGGCGTTCTCCGGAGACAATGTGCAGGTGGCCGAGCGTGTAAGAGTGCGCGCGAGTTCTGAGCGTAGCTCGTCTAAGGGCGAGCAAGACGACGAGGAGCAGGTCAAGGTCACCATCGCGCGCGACAACGAAGATTCATTTGCATCGTCGACGACGACGACGACGACGACGACAACGACGACGACGACGACGACGACGACGACGCAGCATCCACCACTGACTCAAGACACCTCTATGGAAGCACGTAAGTTGTTAAATATAAATTAGATTACATAATATAATGTGGCTCAATTAATGAAAATAAAAGAAACTATGTTAAGAAGAGCTATGAGTCCAAGTAACAATTTTAATGTAAGTAATAAGATACAATAACATAAAAATAAATAAAAATAAAAATTGTGCCTACATTAAACTAACAGACGTTTCGACTCCGATCGGGTCATTCTCAATGTTATAAATAATAAACAATATATACTATTTTTATAACATTGAAAATGACCCGATTGGAGTCGAAACGTCTTTGTACTTGGATTCGTAACCTTTCTTAACATAGTTTCTTTTATAAATTAGATTAATGTCTTGCTTAATGTTGGAAGGATATAAAATAGAAGGTAAAATTAAATTTTTGGAAAATTAAAAAGGAAATTACTTTTTGTACAAAAATAAAAAATTTTCTCCACAATAAATTTGAGATATATAATTTATAGCATATTAATTGAAGATTTCTTTAAAATTTTACACAATTGTGCTTAGAAATTTTTAATATACAGAATAAAATATACATAGATGCATGTTCTTTGAACAATAAGCGGATTATTTATATTTGAAACAATGGCAAGATGTTTTTGGATAATTTTGTAAATGGAATTCAATTCTATCAATTAAATTGCGGTATTTTTATATTTGCGGTATAAACACTAAAATTACATAATTATATTAATGACGAGAGAAACTTAAAATATATTTACTAAATAATGTACTACATTAAATTTACTAGATAATATTTGAAGAAATGCTTTTCTGATTGTTTTAAGTTATATTATAGACACTTTTTTAATCGCAACACGTAAACTTTTGCCAGCAACAAGTTTAATAAGATATCGCTCCATTCGTTTAACACGAGCTAAAAAATAACAAACACTTTTTTCATTTTGAAAGCCGTCATTCTATGAAAAGCAATAAAGCAATACTCTCGTGTTGATTCTTTAAATGCATCTGAATGAGACTCGCGCGCATATCCTTTCGCTGGTTTATCGCTTCGCTAAAATCCCTCTGGATCACCTCTGTATATTCGCATGCGAATAGCGCCATGCTCGTTTTGTTATGCTCGAGCTCGTGTTTACAGGAATTGCAGGATCTTTGGTCAGAGTTATTTTTAACTATTCCAACCGTGTACCATCTTCCACAATCCGGTCCTCCCTTGTACTCCTTTTTTTTCTGTTTTGTATCTTTTCGTTTATCAATTCATGCTATCTTTCGTTTACGATGACCAGAACAGAAATCGGAGCACTACTCACGTTCATACTTTTGGCTGAACCAAAAGAAGGAAGATAACTTTTTCGAATTTTTTCTCTTTATTTCATATATTAATTTTTTTTTCTTTTTTATGTTATTGTGAAAGTGCTCATTTTATGCGCGCATAGAGGATGATATATTTTCTGATAGGCTTAGCACTCGTTCGACACTTTTATCCATTTGATTAATCTTTGATAATGAGAAAATAACAATAAATAACAATTATTATTCTTTTATTATTAATATATATACATCTTTGATCGGAACTGATGAACATTAAAACTGATATTTTCAAGTGTCAAGTGTGTTTAATAATAAGTGCAGTTTCCGAAGTAAAGGCTGAAAGAGACTTTCCGCAGAATTAATCTAATTTATGTGTAATCACGATGAATTTACCATGCGCCGTCACAAGTCAGTTAGGATTAAGATAAGTATGCAATAACGGTGCGCCAATGAGAGACGAACAGAAAAAAATATATATATATATACATACAGAGGGAGAAAGAGAAGAGTCGATACAGAACAGAGCCGCCGATCGCGTGTTCTATCTCGTGTTTTTGATTACGTCTGGCTACGTACACGAGTCGTGACTCCGCGTACAAATCAGTCGATTATAGTTCCTTCGTGCACCGGTCGAACGTATTCTTCTTTCTTTATCCTTACCCCTTTTATACCCTGTCACTCCCTTTTCTCTACGTGCGAGTATACAGCGACTATAATGCTGGGCAACTACGACGATAGGGACGACAATTGAATCCTCGTCACTGACAGCGACCATGTAAACTTAACTTTCAATTTACGTACGAGAGGTAAAAATTGATCTTTTCTTTACAAATTAACTGCAGAAATACCATATTTTATTATCAAAACCTTTGCTATAACGTTTTGACTCATGCGTTATAATTGTAATAAGCTAATAAGAAATAAAGCATTTTATTTCGGGCTTTTCGTTATATTTTGTGGCCTCTATAAATATGTATTAAATTAATCCTCTGTAGTCCAATGGTTTTTTTTAACTGTTTTCCTTGTCTAACCGGATATGATGATTGACCGTGTTTTTCAAAGGTTTTTGGACTCTAAAAAATTCTGATACACTCGAAACTTTTTCACTTTTGCTGTACGTACATGTCCGAATTTGAGAATAATTTAATTATTCAAAATTGAATATTTATATGGGTTTTTAAAGTCCCGGTTGGATCACAGAGGATTAATTATTAGGAAAGTACCGATACATTTTATGTTTGGGTCGTCATAAATATGAGATAAGGTATAAGTATTAGTTGTAATTTATTTATATCTATGAATATACACCGTCACGTCAATTTAATAATTCATTCGAATAAAACTTTCTGGTGTGTGTTTGTCATCGAATTTTTACATTTACATCGGCCGATTCCCGCGTTGAAATGCACGCTGTTCGTGCATTTGTATCATTACTTAACGCGTTTATTTCCGTGCTCCTGCAAGAGAGCGCAGAGTCGTCCTTCTCTTTTACGATCTAATTCGTGATCTGGACAGTTCCCAACGATGAGTTCTCGTGACTGCGCGATGCCCAAGTATACCCGGTATAAGAGGAATGACTAAATGGTCTGAGTAACCGGTCAGGCATCCCAAAACTCGCGATTTATTTTCGTATCCCTAGAAAAGAACTGACGCACCGATGGAGAGAAAGTACTGTTCTCGTTGTATGAATTCAAAGAAATACCCCGCTGGCGAACCAGCGCGAATTCTTTACGAAAATCCACCGAAAAGACTACATAATTTTAGTAATTATAACCACAATCTTCTATTTATATATTATAATATTAGAATTATTAGTTAGCATTCTTCAGATTTAATTAGAATCATTGTATATGAGTATCTCTTTAATATTTGATCAGTAACTTCTTTTTTTTTTTTTATGAATCCGCACTTGATCTTGGAAAAGATAACAATTTTGCGATAACAAATCTAAAAAAATCTTTTAAATTGAAGAATTAGATAATTATATTTCTTTGCGAAACGCGATATATATGTAGAAGGGTGAGAAATTTAATCGAGCGCTCGACTGAGCAATTTCCATCGGTCCTGGGCTGGCTATGTCGCGTTCATGTTACGACGTATATCTCCGGGATTCGAGGCTGGTACGACGCGTTAAGGGTAGTGGCAACGGCAGCCGGTAGGTTACCGCAGAACAGGGCAAAGGAGGCCCTGCGGGCGAAGAGCGAAAGGGCTTCGTCGCTATGGAAACCCTGGCTCTTCGACTACTGTGGGGTGCCTCAAGTTTTTTATGGGCTGAACGATCGTAAGGGTAAAGGGATCTCTAAAAATCGTTACACAGACCTAGATACTCGCCACCTCGCCCCTCCGAGACGGCCGCCCTGTAATATTCGCCACCCTTCCGGTCATGGACCTTACGCAACAGCGTTGTTTCGCTAATTACTATTAAACAATTTTTTTTACAGTGTTAGATATCATTCTAAATATTC